TTATGACTTGGACATCTTTTGTATGAGTAAGGTTCCAGGTTTTTATACATAACTTACCTCCATTCAAAAGTAGAACTATGTTACCTTTGTTGATACCTGTAGTGTTAAGACTATAGCAGAATTATCCATTACTATTAAATGTTTTGGGTTTGTTTGTTTGTTTTTTCCTGTACCGGGGATCAAACTCAGGACCTTGGACTTGTGAGGCAGGCCTGGCACCACTAAATCCCAAGCCCCTGATTGCTATTAAATGTTAAAATAAATTTCTGTTGTGATGGAGACCTAATTACTTACTTATTAGGCAGTTTTGGACTTTTACATACAAAAGAAAAATTCTGTACTCAGGTCATTATTAAACAGTTTGGATGAGCACTTTGTTTTAGATGTGAATTTTCCCAAATAACACAATCTATTATATCCCATAAATAATATTTTTTTGTTTTTTTAATTTTCCAATTGCTGTTATAATTGATCTATTTTTAAATTTTAATTTGGCAAAATAAACAAATTTTTGAGGTTTTTTTGTACTGGGGATTGAAATCAGGACCTTCCCACTGAACTACATCCCCAGCCCTCTTATTTTTTATTTTGAGAGTCTCTCTGAGTTGCTCAGGCTGGTTTCAGATTTACAGTCCTGCTGCCTCAGCTTCCCAGGGTGCTAGGACTACAGGTCAGCATCACTTGCCACTTAAATTCAACTTCGGTTCCTTCTACTGTGAGAGAGTCTTTTGTTGAATTCTCTTTTTTGAACATTGAATTACCACCATCCAGTTTTTTATTTTTCATTCTGGGTATATAAAACCTCTTTGAGGGGTTTACCAGAGAGGGTAAGTGGTTTCTAGAAACTAGAGCATACTCCCACCCTACGGAATAGTGGTATAAAATGGCTGCTACGGTTTTTTAATGCTTGTAGTTTTGAAATGTCTTTGAAGAACTGATAAGATCAGTCCTCCCCTTGTGACCCAGTGAAATTGATCTAGAGCCAAGACAACTGCAGGTGGAATGGCTTAAAATGAAGGATAGCTGTAGGAAAGAATTAAACTTATGTATGACTTTGCCTTTGGCAGAAAAGTAAATAATAAATGACTTGTTTCAACAAATAAGCATGTAATTTAAGGACTGTAAGTTTATAAATAGACAATATTCCTAATATAGATTAACATGTCTCCCATTTATTTCCTGTTCCTAAGCTTTTTCTCTTAGCATTTTAAACTTAATCCATCTTCTACTCTGAATTATCCTGAAAATCTTGTAGTTGGAATAACTAATGAACTATCATTTACCTCTGATTAATATATATATGGATTGGGTATAATGTGATACAGAATTAAAGCTTATAATCATTGTTCTGAAATTTCTTAAAGTGGAAAATAATTATAATAGTTGATGTTTATTAAATATAATACAGTAAGGCAGCATGCAAAGTGAGGAGTATACCTATGTCTAGTAGGGACACTCACTGAGCACCTTGGTAGGTATATTTTTAAGACTTTATAGACATTGTTAAAAAGTAACAAACATTTATCCTCACAGCAGCTCTGAGGTGGCATCATACCTCTTTTATACATGACAAACCTGAGCCCTAAGTACTTAAACTATGTCAGTTCTAAACCAGACCCATCTGGTTTCAAAGTTTGTATTTTTACTCCCCTATAGTATTTCTAATACTCAGAAACTACAAGGCAGATAGTAACATTCCCATTTACAGATGAGGGCTCCAAAGCCTAGAGCTAAAGGAGCTTTGTGATTTCATACAATTTTTGAACTAAGATTTGAAACCAAGACTACCTTTCAGCTGCTGTTGGTTTTCAGTATAGAGCTTCTACTTTTGGTTTGTTGCCTGTTTGATTTGGCTTACTGACCGATAATAAATGCCACAATTCATGGCTAGTGTTCTTTCTTGCTATCTTGCATGTTGAACTTAGGCCTTTAACTTGGTTCAGCCAAAGTAACCCATTTCAGTTATTTTGTTATGCTGAGACCTACCAGCTGGGCATGATGGTGCACATCTGTAGTCACGGCATTGGGAGGCTGAGGCATGAGGATCACAGGTTCAAGGCCAGCGTGGACTATGTAAGGAGACCCTGTCTCAAAAAAGACAAAAAAGAAACATATCTTAAATCTACTTAAGCATCTTTGTATATCTTATCATATGTTTGTTTTCCTCTCAAGCCACATCCTAGGCACTTTGAAAAGCATGATTTTTTTTGCCCAGAGAATAATTGCATCTTAAGCTGTGATACTAATTACCTTGCCCTGTCATTTGAGTAAGCCTTAGAGATAAAACTTTGTCTAGAAACTATATGCTAAGAGCTAGTGTTCTCAGGTCTAGAAAGCAGGTTTTTGGGTCTTTTCCATTGTTTTCTAGGTCTTTATCTGGATGTGAATGTTGGTGCTTCGTTGATGCTAGTTTCCAGTAGAGGACACACAGGGCCATTAGGAAGGCAGAGTGCACTCAGCCAGTAGATGTGTTGTGCCCAGATCGCGAAGTCCCCAAAGACCACCAGGGAGCCGATTCCGATGTAAACACATGAGGGTCGTTTATTCAAGCTCGAGCAGGGGCACTCAACCGTCACCGACACAGCGGATCAGGATTGAGAGCCCCGAATTCCAAACCAGCAGGGTTTTTATTGTGGCTACAGCAAGGTTTGGGGATGTTCCATTTAGCAGTTACATGATTGGTTGATATTTAGCAAGCATGGGGGGTTGAGGGGTGGCTACATGTAGAGTTTATGGGAAAAAGGAACAATCAGCACATTGACAGAATGTTCTATAGATAATGGGCCCGGGAGCATCTGTTTTCTGGGCAGACAGAGGATTGAGTTAGGAGCTGTGTCTTTTTTTTTATCTGTTGTCCCACAGCAAGGACATTTTATCATTTTATGGGCACAAAGGAGACTAGGGGAATAGTTGACTTCAGTGAAGTGGAATTTATGTCAAGGCCACTTTACTGTCTTATTCCAAGTGGAGTTATTTAGGTCTCACAGATGCTGATAGGAATAAAGAGAAATGCAAGATGTTCTTACCTTTAGAGAATGACAGTCTGGGTAGGGAAAGGCAAACAGAGAAGCTGTCTGGGTAACATAAGGTAGTAAGTACAAGATATTCAGAAGACAAAGTTTATCCTTCTTGGATAGCTAGAAAAGGTTGATCTAATTGGACACATAAGTATAGGATGGTAATTCAGTAAGTAGAAGTGGCAAGGTCAGATTTGGAAGGGAGAGAAACTGATAGCAGATAAAACAAATGAACATACTCAGGCACACCAAGGAGAAAGCCCTAGTCAAGTTTGATTGGCCACGGTAGGGTGGCCACTTAGGCATGTTCAGCTGGTAACAATATTTATGGTCAACCACTTACCAGTCCGGTTATTTAAATACAAGATGACCAAAATTGCATATTTTTTCGTTAGTTTTTATAAGGTAATATAACAGCAAATGACAGTTTTTATCAAATATATTCAGTAATTTTTCTGTGTGTGGTATATCTTAAAACATTCAATACACAACACAGCGTTAAAATCTGGACAGTAATACCTAGTCTCTTTCTGAATTCTTTTCGTATTATTGTCTTTGAACAGCACACTTTACACTGTCATGCTGGCCTTTCCCTTTTTTTGTGTGGGTGGGGTAATTTCAATAAAATATCTACCAACTGAACGTAATGGTGAAGACGTTGATGATGGGCATCCTGGGTGGCGTTTTGTTATCATGTATTTTTCAGTTATTTGGTATGTTAGGCCTGATCTAAACTGTAAATGACTTTTTGAATCTCTTTGTTTTGAATAAATAACAGCCAGGTCCCATATTGTTTGGTCCAGAAGGTGCATAAATATTTTATGCGCTTTTAGATTGCGGGATAGCTTGTTACATGTTGTCAACTCTGTCAACACCACCCATAGAATTACCCACTAGAATTACCCATAGAATTGGCCACTATTAATTTTTTTAGTTTCCCTTCTTCCTTCCAGTTCTATCATTTCTGTATTATAAATAGTTAACAATAAGTTGTCTTTTTTGGTCTTTCCATTTTATAACACAGATTTTTCCTCTCTGATATGACAACATTTTTTCCTTTTTTAGTTTTTTCTTTGGCAGATCTGTTGGCATTTCCTTCCTATTCAGTCTGCCAAATGTGTCCCTTTTGTTTTGTTTTATTTTGTTTGTTTTTTGAAACAAAGTCTGGCTTTGTAGTTCCGGCTGACCTTGAACTTACTATGTAGCCCAGGCTGGCTTCAAACTTGCTGGGATCCTCCTGCCTCGGCCTTGTGAGTGCTGGATTCACAGGCATGCGCCACCATGCCCAGCCCAGACATGTCATTTTGTACTGTCAAAGTATCACAGAGTTCTGGAGAAGTATAAAAATTATATCTAATGCACTTACAGTAAGAGTTTTTATAGATAGTATTGGTCATCATGGAATCATTGGATATTTTGCAGACATTTTCTCAAGACTAGGGCCAGGGATTTAGCTCAGTGGTTCTGGCACCTGCCACGCAAGCACAGGGTCCTGAGTTCGATCCCCGGTACCAAAAGAAAAAAGCAAACAAGAATAAAGTGGATCTGTCTATGTCAAGAATAACACTGAGGGCTGGGGATTTAGCTCAGTGGTTCCGGTGCCTGCCTTGCAAGCACAAGGTCCCTAGTTCGATCCCCGGTACCAAAAAAAAAAAGAATAACGCTGAGTAGGGGTCAGGGATTTAGCTCAGTGGTTCTGCCACCTGCCTCGAAAGTACAAGGTCCTGAGTTCAATCCCCAGTACCAAAAATAAAT